CCTTCTTTTGTCCCCCCTCTACCCACCCACCCCAACCAGTTGAGGCAGAAGGCCGCCCACCAAGAGCCGGGGTCCACCAAGAGGAGGTTTCTTCCGTTAAAGGGAGTTTTTCCTCCCCACTGTCGCCAAGTGCTTGCTCAAGGGGGATTTGTTTGGTTTTTCCTCTGTAATAATAGTGATAACAGGTCTAGACCTTACTCTGTAAAGTGTCCTGAGATGACTTTTGTTGTGATTTGGCGCTATACAAATTTGATTTGATGACTCTAAACCATGACTCGACAAAACATCTGATAAAATCCAAAACTTTCTGCTAGATGTAAAATGTGTCTTGTTCAAATCCACGTTTCATCAATTAGCTTGACAGACTGTCATTGGTGAAAGCTCCTGCTTTATAAAGACTTTCAAATTGCATCTGATGAATATCAGATTACTAACCACCAAATCTATCCCTGGAACGTGTGCCATTCATTATGTGTCTACTTTAAATTTCACCATTATTACTTCTACTTTTGTGTTTCCTCCTCATTTCTTAAAATACTCCCTCTCTTTGAATTGTATTTAAATTGCATGTTTTCCTGATCCCAGTGTTGCTGCCACTCTTAACTTTCTTCTTGTCTTTTGTCTTTGACTCATGAAAGCTTAACACAAATGTCTACATTTTAATTTTTGAACAGCTTATTTGTCCACACTCTCATTACCCAGAATGTTAATATCAGCAGGAGTTGAAGAGAAAATGGCCTTATTAGTTTTGTAAGAGTTACCAGTAGTGTGGTTTGTCTACAAGGCAGTGCTAAAGGAGAGGCCGTGGGGATCTATGGCCTTTGAAGAAGGTGCTTAGTAAATTTCATGGTCATCGACCTAGACTAGATTTTGTATATGATATTTTGGACAGAAAATATGCAGATGTGAAAATTCAGCAAAAAAATATTTTCCCTTTAGAAATCGAGTCAGCAAATTAAAATAAAATCAAATGGATTACAAATGTTACACTCCACAGCAGAAAATGTAACAGGCAAATCAAATTTAGAATGATAATGGCCACTTAAAATGGTCACGGAAATGTAATTCACAATGTTTATTAAAGGAAACTGCAGCTTGTTGTGTAACATCTTGGTGTCAGTACAGTGACAAATCCAAATAATTTGATTTGATTTATTCTTTCAAGCCTGTAAAGACAGTTGATATGTCACACATAATTTTACACATATCCAACAAATGTTAATCCAATATCAATGTGCTTATACCTAGTACATGCTTGAATGGAGTAGGAAGAAGTCAGACTTATCCAGTCCTACCCCATGACATCATCTTACCATCATTGGTTTGCAAGCAGTATCTCTACATAGATAATTCTCTTCTACACCACACAAGTAATGTACTAAAGAATTATTACAGAGTGTTAACATTCATACCCCACACCCACAATGTTCCATCTAATAAATCATTAAGCCTGTTCTTGCATATATCTTGATTGACACATACCTTTATATTTACAGTGGGTACGGAAAGTATTCAGACCCCCTTAAATTTTT